ACCATTGCTACTCTCAAGGAGCCTTGGTGGTGCTGTTGGGTCAGCAGGGAGGGGACTGCTAACTTGCAAGGTCATTGGTTCAAACCCACCAGCTGCTCCACAGGAGAAAGAGGAGGCTACCCGCTCCCATAAGGAATTGACGCAGACGGCGGTTATTCTGTGAGTTGGAATGGACTCAGTGGCAGTGGGTTTAGATTTGGGCTGATGATTTTCTTCCTTCTGCGCACGAGGAAACACGGATGAAATGGAATCCACACCATGAGTAACTGTGGGCATGTCCCTAGACCATCTCATTGTCTGGCATTCATGCTCAGAACCAGGAGTGCCCTGCTGCTGCTCATCAAACAACACTTTCTTATGGAACCTTCTGACATGTTGGCCTGGTTTTTCTTCATTGTAAAGGAAGATGAGCAAGTGTTCAGGAGATGATACACTATTACCCAATTTTACAGTTTTACTTCGTTGTTGGTGGAGAATGGATATTGCAAAATGTACACCAATTCAGCAGGTTTGATATGTAAATTTCAGGGATATCGATTACATTCTTTGAGTTGTTGCGACCATTCTTCCCCCTTGAGCCTGAACTCAACTTCCTATTTTAGTATATGTGCTGCCGAAGCAAACACTAAACTCAACCTCCTAAAGTTCCTGTCTAATCTTTGAAGTGACTGTTGTCACTTAGATCTCATTTAAATAGTTCTTAAAAGAGCAGAGTCCTCTGTATTTTAATAGGAAGCAGCTCTCACATTTCTATCATTTCATATAATTGGATGTATAAGGAGGCTTCAGGAAGTGCATGGAAAAATGGAAAGCAAAGCTAATGCTATTTTTCCACCAACTTTTTTTCTTTCACTGTAAACCTTTATTGGCCTTTTGGAAATAGGAACATATTTGCCAGGAAGGATGACCCTATCCTACTTCTGCTGGGACCAGCACTGGCTTCCTTTTTGCCGAGTCTGTCTTTGGCTCTCTGCGATGTAGCCCGCTCTGCAGTTCCTGTCTGCGATGCTAAAGCCTGGCCTCCCCAGCACCACACACAAGTCCAGGCTGTGGATACCGATGCCCGGGTCATATTTGACCCCAAAACCAGAAGTTATCTTTTTGTAACTCATGCTCCTGCAGCATTAGAGGTCTCCAAGATTTTCTCTGCCTTGTCCCGAGGACTGTGGTAGACAGCATTTTTTCCCCATTTCTCCTAATGCCAAAGGATCTGATGGTGTTTCTGGCCCGTGAGCTGTGCCCACACCTTGGCTGTCCGGTCAGTCTGTCTCACTCTCCCCCGCGCGCTGTGTGGAGACAAGAGCTTGTGGAGGCAGAGCTCCTGCGTGGGGTTCTCTTTTTCACCTTGACTCTGTGCCAGGAAGGAGAACTTTTTGAAGCCCCCTCATATTAAGCACTTGGGGATTTTGGGTGTCTTTTTTCTAATTTACTTATTTTTAGTATTTCAGGGGTTTGAGTTTCACATAATCTCATCTTGAATATATGCATCTTTAATTTTTCTCTCCCCACCCTTCTTTTTTTTAGTTAGTTTTGTACACTCTGTGCTTCTGGGCCTCAGGGCAGAAGGGAGCAGGGCCCTT